CATTATAAACTTTTGAACAATAATAGATACAGAGGCAGAGCTGCCTCAAACAGATTGTCAAACTGCAGTGGGAAGGCCGGGGAGGTTTGGGGGGCAGGAGGGAAGGGGGTAAGAGAACAACCGAAGGACTTGTATGCATGCATATAAGCATAACCAATGGACATAAGACACTGGGGGCTAGGAGGCCAGGGCATTGTCAAGGGCAGGGAAACAAAAAAAGGACACATATGCAATACCCTTTGTAATACTTTTAGCAATAAAAAAAATAAAAATAAAAATAAAAATAAAAGAATTCAAAAAATAAATAAATAAATAAAACAACTATGGTTAATTTAATATGCTAAAGGCTCTAAAAGATAAAACAGACAGCATACAAGAACAGACAGGCAATGTAAGCAGAGATGAAGATCCTAAGAAAAAAAACAAAAGTGTAATTCGGTGTTTTAAATATTAGTTAATACATGCAAATATATTTAAATACAGTCTAGAAGTGTACAAACTAAGCTATGTACAGTGGTTTTCTCGAGGTTGTCTCTGGAAGTATGGACAATTTTTTCCATCTTCTTTATACTTTTCTATATTTCCCAAATTGTCTACAATGCATATGCATTACTTTTTTAAATCAAATGTATAAAGGCTTTTACTTTTTTTTAAGATCTAAAGTTTATAGGTGTCTAAATTAGCTGGAACTAACTGAAATAGTTTGAGATAGTTGAGACTGGCCCAACCATGTCAAACTCTAAACAGCTGTTAGAAATAGACAACTAGGCAAAAGCAGAGGGACAGAACCCAGGAAGTCAACCCGCTATTAAAGAGAAGAGAGAAGAACAACTGGTAAGTGATGTGGAATAAGCTATGGTTTCTTAAATTCAGAGAAGAATGGAATAAGAAGAAACAACAATTAGAAAAAAATATCTTAGAGACCCTCACCCTTTACTCTGCTAGCACACAGGAGCCTTACAGGGCATTGTCAATGGTAAGAAGAAAGATAGATGTCAACTCCCCCACCCCATCTTAACTGCTTTGCCAGATTAGATAAATCCGAGAGAGGAAATAAACGGTCAAAGGCATCCCTCACAGTAGGTACAGGTGAAACATTCCTCACTTAAAAAGTCAGGAGTGGGAAGGCTGGGATGGGCCACAATGCATTCTGAGAGTCTAAGTCAAATGAAATGAATGAAAGCAAGAGGCAGAAATCAATCACATGCTAACAAAAGACACCCATCAGCTGGGATGAAAGGTAATATAATGGTTCATTTTATGTATCCACTTGGTTAGGCAATGGTGCCCAGTTGTTTGATCAAATGCCAGTCTATATATTGCTGTGAAGGTATTTTTTAGATGTGATTAACATTTAAGTCAGACTTTAAGTAAAGAGGATTACCCTTCATAATGTGGCTGGACCTCATCCAATCACTTGAAGGCCTTAGGAGAAAAGACTGCGATTTCCCACAGAAGAAGAAATTTGACCTGGAGACTGCAATATAGAAACTATGCCTGGGTTTCCAGCCTGTTGGCTTGCCCTACAGATTTCAGACTTGCCAGTCCCCACAATTGTGTGTAAATCTCTGTATTACTCATTCATTCTTTCTCTCTCTCTCTCTCTCTCTCTCTCTCTCGATACATAGATCTATCTATCCATATAGAAAGATAGATACACAAATACATATATATATATATGCACACAGAAATATAGACATATCCTAATACTTCTATTTCCTGAAGAACCCTAACACAGGTAATAAAAGATGAACTCTAGCCCTAACCGGTTTGGCTCAGTGGATAGAGCATCGGCCTGCAGACTGAAAGGTCCCAGGTTCAATTCCAGTCAAGGGCATGTACCTTGGTTGCGGGCCCATCCCCAGTAGGGGGTGTGTGCAGGAGGCAGCTGATCGATGTTTCTTTCTCATCAATGTTTCTAACTCTCTATCCCTCTCCCTTCCTCTCTGTAAAAAAATCAATAAAAATATTTAAAAAAAAAAAAAAAAGATGATCTCTGTTAATAGAGACTAATAGGGCAGAATCTTAAACTAGAGGCAATGGAATTGAAATTGGCTAAGGCAGGCAGCAATAATATCAAAGATTCCTGGACATATGAATGAGGTGATAAGCAATACATTTAATGAAGATTATTTTGAAATCTATAATATGTGTAGCATGAACCAGATCAAAGGGATGCTACATTTGGAGAAATCTAGGCCAAAGGATTCTATGGGTGGCTATGGAAATGAAAAAGAAACCCATTCATATAATAAGGATATAGCAATAATATAACAGGTATATTTTATATTCTCAAGATCTTTAAGTAAAAGTTCTACAGGAATACTGTTCATATATAAAGATATTAACTTACCATACTTGTCTCGCAAGCCAACGGTACATCTAAAGACTCCACCAAAGGCAACATCTTCACCAAATATTACTGAAAAACAATGTTTAAAGAACACGTTTTATTTAATAATCCCTAAGTAATAGTAACAATGATAAATAAGTAATATAAACTTAAAACAAGACAATAAATTAAAAAAAAAAAAACAAACAGAAAACAGATCTGGACCATAGATCCAAGTCAAAGTTTCTCAATTGTGACATTATGGACATTTTGGACTGGATAATTCTTTTGCTGTAGCAGCCTGCTCTGTGCATTGTAGACATACAGAAGCATATCATATTTCTGATCTCTACCCAGTGGATGATAGTTGCCCCCAAACACACAGCTGTAATAGCCAAAATCTCTCTAGGCAATGTAACATATAAGAGGAGGAAGGGGGGTCAAAATCTCTCCAGTTACGAAAGAACCACTGATCTAAAATCTCATCTTGTTTTACCATGAAGAAATTGAGGCCATATAAGTAGTAAAGTAACTTGCTAAGTCAGAAAGCAAGAGGCAGAACCATGACTCACACTCCAGGTTCCTGAATCCCTGGCCAGTGTTTTTTTATACATGTTACTAGAGGCCAGTACACAAAATTCATGCATGGGAGGGGGGGCTCCCTCAGCCTGGCCTGCATCCTCTCGAAAACCTTACCGGGGATGTCTGACTGCCGGTTTAGGCCCAATCCCGCTATGGATCGGGCCTAAACCAACAGTTGGACATCCTTCTCACAATCCAGGAACACTGGCTCCTAACTGCTCGCCTGACTGCCTGATTGCCCCTAACCGCTCACCTGCCTGCCTAATCACCCCTAACCGCCTCTGCCTGCCTGCCTGATCGCCCCTAACCACCTCTGCCTGCCTGCCTGATCGCCCCAAACTGCTCCCTGGGGGGGCGGAGCCAGCCTGGGTGAGGGGCCATGGTGTTCTGCACTTTCCAACCAGGAATGTTTTAATAGGCAGTCTCCAAAAACTTGAACTGAAAAACCTAAAAGTAGAGTGCTCAGATTTCAGGCATCAGGTGCTATTAGCAGGATTTCTATCCCAATTAAACTCCAATTCTGAGCGCTCAACAGTCTGGACAAACTGCCCTTCACTATCTCCAAAGTTTCTTATTCGTCACTATCCCATTTTCCTAAGCTTCAAACCAAGGTAACAAACGAAACCTTTAATTTTGATCTTCCTCCCGCAAGGGAACAGCAAACCTCAATTGAAATAATTTCCCACCGCAAGTCACGTCCAAATACTGCGAGACTGAGGACTATAGGACTGACTACGTACATGCGCAGTAACAGGCTCATGTTCTAGCGGTAGGCACCCAGGTGTCCTCCACAATCCCACGATCCTCTGGTCGCATACTTCTGGTTTTTTTAGCTCCTCCTTAAGTGGTGTTTCCTTCACTCACATTACAACATCCAGGGCCTCTGGTTGGAGAGGATTTTTCTGTTCTTTGACATTGATAGATGTTTACTATTTGGAATCAGTGAAGTTTCGGAAGTACTGCCACTGCCATGAACATGTGGGTCTCAAGCGCACTCATGAAAGAAGCACCCATTCAGTCCACAGCTGGCGCTGTCCCGGTTCTCAATGAGAAAGGTACTGTGCTGAGCCATTTTCCAATTGGATCTTCCTCTTCCTTCCCCAGCACACTCCAAACCTACTCCAGGCCAACAACCCCAACCCTGCAGACCCTTAAGACCTTCCCCCTATTTCTTCGACTTTCCCCCATCAAACTCGCACCCTATCACGTTGCCTAGGGGCGCCCCTAACCACTTCCTGGGGGGCGGGACCAGCCTGGGTGAGGGCCATGGTGTTCTGGTCTCTGGTTGTTCTGGTCATTCCACAGTTTCAGTCGCTGGGCTTTTATTATATAGGATATTATACAATGAAAGTCACCGATCAAAAGAGCTGAAAGCAAAGCATTCTAACTGACAAAACAGTCAGTTATGTGACTGTAACTTAGACTGTATGAAACAGAAAGGAGACAAGTACAGTGGGACATACTGAGCAAGAAAAAAAATAATATAGGTACAAATTGAGAGGAGCTTGAGTAAGTCAAAGAAAATAATGAGAATTCATAGAGCTAACTTCTAGTCATATTAATGCACCTAACCAGACTTGTGGACCTCAGGAAAATAACACCTTTCTCTACTCATCTAGATTAATTGTTCTCAGACAGCATTCAAAACAAAATAAGATCCATCCATGAAAAAATATCCTTGGGTGAATATTAACAAAACAAAACAACAACAAAAAAAGATCCAACAATCTAACTCTTACTTCCTCCTAAAAAATAACGTGTTTTTCATGTGATCTTAAAACTAGGGATTCTCAAGTAGAAGTCCAAGGTATAAGGTACAGCCAATCAAATTTAGAAAACATACAACAGGGGGACAACTTTTTTATATTAACAATTTAACTTGATAAGATTACTTTTAAAGTTATTCCTCACCCTAACTGGTTTGGCTCAGTGGATAGAGCGTCAGCCTGTGGACTGAAGGGTCCCAGGTTCGATTCCAATCAAGGGCATGTACCTTGGTAGGGGGTGTGCAGGAGGCAGCCGATCGATGTTTCTCTCTCATCGATGTACTAACTCTCTATCCCTCTCCCTTCCTCTCTATAAAAAAATCAATAAAATATATTTTAAAAAATAAATAAAGTTATTCCTCAAAAAAAAATCTTGGCCCAGCCAGCATGGCTCGGTGGTGAACCAGGAGGTCAAGGTTCGATTCCCGGTCAGGGGACATGCCTGGGTCAATCCCCAGTGGGGGTGGGGGGGTGCAGGAGGCAGCCAATTGGTGATTCTCTCTCATCATTGATGTTTCTGTCTCTCTTTCCCTCTCCTTTCCTCTTGAAATCAATAAAAATATATTTTAAAAAAATCTTGAATGAAAATGTAACCTAAAGGAAAGCACAAAATCAAATCTTGATTTTATAAATAGACTAGAGACCCGGTGCACAAATCTGTGCATCAGTGGGGTCCCTCGGCCTGGCCTGCGGGATCGGGCTGAAACTGGCTCTCCAACATCCCCCAAGAGGTCCCGGATTGCGAGAGGGTGCAGGCCAGGCCGAGGGACCCCACCGGTGCATGATCAGGGACGGGGAGGGACGCGGGAGGTTGGCCAGCCAGGTAAGGGACCAGAGGAAGACTCCAGGGCGTGTCCAGCCCATCTCACTCAGTCCCAATCTGCCGGACCCCAGCAACAAGCTAACCTACCGGTCGGAGCTGCCCCCTGGTGGTCAGTGCACATCAGAGCAAGCAGTTGAGCATCCTTAGCATATCATTAGCATATTTCGCTTTGACTGGTTGACCAGACACTTAGCATATTAGGCTTTTATTATATAGGAAAGATGGCTGAACAAAGTGGTACTTTCCATTTTTTCTATATGCTAGAGAAACAGGAGTGCACAGTAGGTATTAATACAGAAGGTGTTAGTATAGTATCAGAACCATACATACTATGAGAGGAAGTTAATTTGATGATGTTACAGATAAATGAGAACTAATTCATAATGAGTAGATTAAAATGGGTTAACATCATGATTAGACTATTGAACCTTAACCGTTTGGTCAGGTGTTTTATAAATTTCAGGTACATATAATGTTAACCATTGACCTCCAGACAAATATTTCCGGTAAATCTTCAATTCTGAAGTAACACAGCAACCACAAGCAAACACAAAGGAAGTTTACCTGCAGTAGGATCTTTGGCCAATGAGTTATCCAAAGCACTTGTTATTGCCTGGAAAAGGTTCATTTTCTGAGTTTGTCCTGTAAAAATAAAAATTTTAAATTACATTTCATACATAGTAAAATATATAAAAATAACTCATTTCTTAATAGTTGATTACAACTTGATTAAAATCAAGGTAGAAAGGAAGGTAGAGAACACATTACATTAATTTATTGGATTATTTAAAATGATGGTAGCTCTATAGAAGATAAAAAAGCAACACAGACTTCAAGAGGGCTGTTGAAGAGGCAAAATTTACACATATTAAAAAATTAAAAAACAAGTATAAAAAAAGGAAGAAGGCATATAATCAAGTGACCAAATGTGTGTAGAAAATAAATAAAGGCTAAGCAAAGTCAGGAAAGTTTACCAGCCAGAGTGAGAGTGGCCTGGGAAGATGCCCTAAGGGGTGTTGGGAACATAAGCCATAGGAATGCACAGGCCCACAGTGGCATGTGTTAATTATGCCAATGAAAGCAAATGGTCATGGGCCATAAAAAAAATAAGGAACACTAACAAAAAACTTTAGTACCCAGAACTGCTGGTGTTTGGAGAATATAGAATCCCAGGCCTAAACAAACCACACTTGGTTCTTCCTTTTATCTTATTGCTCCAGTCAGAATCTCTGCAAGCCAACCTCCATCTCCCTAAATGGGTTAAATGGATCAGTACATGTAAAGCACAAAGAACAATACCTGACACAGTGAGTGCTGAATAAATATTAGTTATTTATTATTAGATTCTGGACTTTGTCCATGTCCTTCATCTTGGCCTGGGCATTATTCTGAAGGGTACAAAGCTTTATTTGATAAAGTTCCAAATGTTGAAATTCAAAAACATTATGACTTCAGAGCTATGATTTAAGCCTTGATGCTGCCCAGTGACCATAGTCATCCTATAACTTTGGGTCCACTCCTCTCCAAAACCACTATTCAGAGCAGAGAATGGCTTCTGCCTAAATCTTCTCTGATCCACAGGCCCAGTCTTCATTTTAGTGCCCATCTATGCACTGGTGCTCACTTTAGCCCATAGCCATGCTGATATCAAATCCCTTCAACACCTGTTGCCTACCCTGACTACTGCCCCATCTAATCTCTGTGCTCCTCAGTAGCCTGGTGTGTTCCAAAATCCAGGTTCTAATTCCCACATTGGGACACAACGGCTACTGCTATTGCCTTCAGCCTTCTAAGCACTGATCACTCATTTTTTTTCCTAGAAAAAAATTTTTCCATGGCAGGTTCTCATCTATGACATCTTGAATCTTCCATTATCTACTGACATACGGCCTACTGTTTCTCTATCTAATCTAACCCCATCAACACCGCTACATGCAGGTCTTGTTGATCCCCAATCAGATCTTCCCTGCTGCCCTCCTGGCCAGAATAAAGGCCTGTTTCTACTCTTATTTTTGATAGAGATAACAGGAATTTATTAAAGAAAATATTGTTATATCAACTATATCAAAGAAAAAACAATCACACCACATGTCCATAATTTATTTTTCTTCAGGCTAAGGCTATATCATTAATAGATACTTTCCTTAAATCCTTCTACAGCCTATAAAAATTATTTAAAGTATTTATTAGTGTCCTGCACCAGATGGTAATTTAGGTTAAATTTTTTCCCCAACCACCATGGCATTCCCACTCTTTCTCCTATTTCATACATTTCCTAAAGCAAGATTTTTATTTGTCAATTAGGATTTTCATAGGTACTACCTAGGAAGATGAAAAATGCCTAAACATCTACGCTGCTATTTATTTCAAGTCCGCTAACCATTAAAATTAATATTGAATATTTCATTGCTGCTCAGCAAATATCCAGTGGGAAGAAAGCAAAGATTTTAATAGTAAAAATCATACCAAGGAAATTTAGAAAGTATTGCTTGATAGCCACAAAGAATTTACTCATCTTATATGAAAATAATTTACAAGGTTATTTAAAGGTTATATTTCCATGTAAGCACATAAACTTTCACTCCTGAATACTTTTTCAAATAAATTCAAAATTTTAGGGTTTTGGATTAACTGCTATTCTACCAGATGCTTTTAAAAGTTTTAAATGTCAATATTTTACTGATTTTTGAGAGAGAGAGAGAGAGAGATTTGTTGTTCCACTTATTTATGCATTCACTGGTTGATCCTTGTATGTGCCCTGACTGAGGATTGAATCCACAACCTTGGAGTATTGGGACATTCTAAACACAGAGCTACCTGGCCAGGGCAGACAATTTTAAAAAATTTTTAAATAACTTATTTTTACAGTTGTACAATATTATATTAGTTTCAGGTGTTCAGCCCAGTGATTAAACATCTATATAACTGAAGAGTGGTCACCCCAATATTTCTAGTACCCACCTGGCACCATACATCGTTATTAAAATATTATTGACTATATTTTACATCCCCATGACTATTTTACAGCAACCAATTTGAACTTCTTAATCCCTTCATCTTTTCCACCCATCTGCTCCAACATCCCTCCCACCAGGCAACTATCAACATGTTATTAAATGATAATTTTTAATACAGCAACATCTACTTTCAATTCTTTTTAAAGTTGTAGTATGTTTTGTGGATGGGTCAGGAAGAAATGACAAGTTATTCACAGGTAAGATCATTTTAAATATCTAATTTCCTTATAACTACTTATTCTCCTACTGGTGGCCCAGTGCATGATTCGTGCACATTGAAAGGAAAATAATTAGAAGAAATATTTTAATACTGCTATTTGCCCTTTCTCTGTAATGGACACTGGTTACCACCTGCGGGGTGATCGGCGGGGCAATCATCAGGCTCCCATCTGGCTCCCTCAGCGCCTGGGAGCCGGGCGGCGGCCCCACCGCCCACCACCCCCACCCCACCCCCCGCTGGTTGCTGTCTGTGGGGCGATCGGCGGGATGATCAGGCCCCCCTCGCACGCTCCTTGGCCTGGCACTGACTGCTTACCTGCTCCACCATCCCGCCACAGTCCCACTCTCATTGGGGCCCATTAGGGCCGGCAGCGCCTCCACTGCCACCTGCTGCCAGGGCCTCGTCGCCGACGCCCGCCATGTTCTGTGCCACCCCCTGGTGGTCAGTGCACATCATAGCGAGCGGTCGAACTCCCAGTTGAACTCCCGGTAGAAGGGACAATTTGCATATTAGGCTTTTATTATATAGGATAGGTTATATCAAAGACCATTGATAAAATATGCCTGTGTTCCCCCATAATAAGATAAATGCACCTGTAGCACATCTAACTAAAGTTGTGCCACTGGCAAGACATTTCAAAAGAAAAAAGGCCTGGATGGCATAGCTTAGTGAATGAGCGTCATCCTATGAACCAGGAGGTCACAGTTGGATTCTCGGTCAAAGCACATGCCCAGGTTGTGGGCTCATTCCCTAGTGTGGACCATGCAGGTGGCAACTGATCAAAGATTATCTCTCATCATTGATGTTTCTATCTCTGTCTCCCTCTTCCTTCCTCTCTGAAATAAATTTAAAAAAAAGAAAGGTGGTCTATGAACACCACTAAAACTGTTATTCACAGCATCATGAATAATGATCATCACTGCTACAAAGATAAGTGGCATGTGGGCGGAATGGAAGGGACACAATAGAACATAAGCTCTAAGAGGTCAGGGACTCTTATCTGCCTTTGACCAGAGCTATATGCTGTGTTTACAATAATGTCTGACATGTAGTCGATGATTGAACAAATAAATACAAGCAGCTATTTCCATTAAGACAAAATATACACAAAGCAAATTGTTAAACAACCACTTAAAGAGGTGGGAATGAAGTAGGGGGGAAAATCTACCAAAGTCACAATTCAAAGAGACTGCAGGAAAGTTGGGGAGAAGGGATATTGCTATAACAGGATGATGGAGTATTCAATTATTTTGAACTAGAGGCCCAGTGCACAAAATTCGTGCACTGGGGGGGGGTGTCCCTCAGCTCAGCCTGCACCCTCTCCAATTTGGGACCCCTCGAGGGATGTCCAACTGTCCTCTCACAATCCAGGACTACTGGCTCCCAACCGCTCGCCTGCCTGCCTGCCTGACTGGCCCTAACCGCTTCTGCCTGCCAACCTGATCACCCCCTAACCACTCCCCTGCCAGCCTGATCGACGCCTGACCTCTGCCCTGCCAGCCCGATTGCCCCTAACTGCCCTCCCCTGCAGGCCTGATCACCTCCAACTGCCCTCCCCTGCAGGCCTGGTCCCCCCCAACTGCCACAGGCCTGGTCCCCCCCAACTGCCCTCCCCTGCCAGCCTGGTCCTCCCCAACTGCCCCCTCCTGCAGACCTGGTTCCCCCCAACTGCCCTCCCCTGCCGGCCATCTTGTGGCAGCCATCTTGGACCACATGAGGGCGGTCATCTTGTGTGTTGGAGTGATGGTTAATTTGCATATTATCTTTTTATTAGATAGGATACCTTCAGTAGGCAGTAGTGTTGAAGGGAGAGAGAAGCCTTCCACAGAGCCAGACCACTTAAGACAAAAGAGGCAAATGGGTCCCAAGGAGCAGTCTTCAGAAATAAATAAGGTCAAGAGTAGGGCATGTGAACAGTAAGTATATTTGTAGTTAGAGGAGTGATGGTTAATTTGCATATTATCTTTTTATTAGATAGGATACCTTCAGTAGGCAGTAGTGTTGAAGGGAGAGAGAAGCCTTCCACAGAGCCAGACCACTTAAGACAAAAGAGGCAAATGGGTCCCAAGGAGCAGTCTTCAGAAATAAATAAGGTCAAGAGTAGGGCATGTGAACAGTAAGTATATTTGTAGTTAGACCCTGAACAAATAAAAATACACAGCTATGATATGGAAAATTAGGGTCTTTCAGAAAAATGAGGGTTCTACCAACACTCTGAGCTGCTTAGTCCTTGCTGGAGATCTGTATATTTTAACACTGCCTCACCCTATTCCTTAGAAATCTCAGCATTTAGCACAGTGCCTACCACGTACATGACAATCAGCATATGATTGTGAAGCATGATGAATGACTAATTCAGTGGCTTACAATGACACTAACCACACTGTGAAAATGGGAAGATGCCT